GGGCTCCTTGAAGACATAAAGCTGATTCTCTGCCTCTTGCTTTTGGCCATTATTCCTGGTCGCTTTGTCCCTTCTCCAAAGCTTGCTCCCATTCAGTGTTTTCTCAGTTGGGGTGTGGAGACACCTTTTTCCTGTCCAGCTGCCACCTCACTGGCCCTAGACCTTGGTTTCTACTCCCTGGCTTGCCACAAGGACATCTGGACCCTTCGTCCTCAGCTGTCTGCCATTCTCTAGTTCTTTCTACAGGACAAGGTTTGTCCACTCCAAACACATGGAGTTCCTTGACTCTGGAAGCCTTCATCCACTGTCAGCCCTTTCCCCTGGTCTTTGTCCCTTATCCAGATGTTGGTTTTCCAGTTTGGCTGAGGGTTGTACAGCATGCTGTGTACCATTTCAGGTGTCTAGTGAAAGATGTCTGCCAGCCTTCTTCAACCGCCCCAATAACGGGGACGCGGGTGACTGGGACATGGCCAGGTTCCTTTTAAAAGCCTTGACCCTGCTGTTTTGCTTGTGAGTCACTTCCTGTACCCAGGGACTAGTGAGTTTGTTGTCTGGGTGGTTGCTTTACATTGTATGAGTTCCAGGCATGTGTGTGGGAGGGAGGGCTGAGGGGGAAAACACAGACCTGGAGCTGGGCCCTTCTGGTGTTGACTTGGGGGACTGACCGAGCAGACCTACCTCTTCAGAACCAGATGAGTCAGGTAGGAGCTTGTTCATACCATGAGGACAAAGGGCAGAAAAAAGACTCAAAGTAGGGGACAGTGTGGTTGTGTCATAGATCAGGGCACTTTGGCATCTTTAAGGGTTGAGGGAATTATATTCTGCCCTGGATTGGATCTACCTTGCTGCTTTTTTTTTTTTTTTTTTTCTCAAGCCCTGTGGCCTCCCAGGGTGTGGGGACTATGACTGAAACAAATCAGGAGACTTGTTCAGCCTCCCCAGAGTCTTACTGGATCTGGGAGAAGGTGAGCTCTCCAAGTCCTAGGGAGCGTCCACTCTTTACAGAAACAGCATTGTTAGCCATTGTGTCCAATGTCGCAGTTGTAAATCATGAGCAAACCTCACTCAGGAGGAGACTCAGCCCCAATGGAGCCCTTGTTTACTCAATGGCTCAGCCCACTGTTGCCAAAAGTATCTTCGAGGAACCTCATTTTACCAGGCTCCCCTCCCCCCAGAGCTAACAATGGCTCTTTCTTGGGCATCTCATCAAAATCGGCCTGGCGCTGCTTTACAAGGGTCTTAGAGAACAGGCTTTACTGGGCTTCTCAGTTTTTTATTCCACACAATCATAGTTCTAATCCTTTACTGTGCCTGGCCTTTCCTAGAGGACTTTGAACTTGCTTGACTATAAACCCCAGTGAAGCGTACCCTCCCTATGTGTGATAAATGCTGCAATTTCTCCTCGCCTTCATTCATTTTGCCTCTTAATAAATGCTGGTCATGACCCACAAAATTAGTTTCATGATGCTCATGTGGGTGGTGGGACTCAGAGCTGGTTGAATGGACGACACCTCGTGGAAGCCAGTGTGAGCCCCGAGGAAATGAGAGAGCTGGCAGGTCTCCCAGAGGAAGCTCCTCGACCGTATGTAAGGATGACCAGTCAACTCTGACAAGCTAGTAGGCACAGCAGATTCCAGAACTTTGAAACTCTGAGTCGGGAGGAGGACCAGAAGTTCAAGGTCAGCCTGCATTATCAGAGTAAGACTATCTCAAAACCTAAAATCCAAACCAGAACACCTGACAAAAGTTAGTCAAAAGACATACTAGAGTAGTGTCTTCCATCTTTTTTTAGTTGTGTAGTGGTTTTTTTTTTTTTTTTTTGACATCAGACAAAACATAATTGTGCATCCAACTCCAGTGTGTTTGGCTACTCGTTTATTTTTTATCTATCAGTGTATTATATGACCACATAAAAATATACTCCAAATGTAAATTTTAAAGGGGCGAGGCACAAATGAAAGAAGCCATGTTTTAAATGGCATGCAAGTGGGTGGATGCCTTTCTTCGGGTAGATAAAGACCCGAAGGCGTAATACACACGGAGGGAGATCAGGATGGGGCAGCAGCAGGGGTTGGTTGGAAAGCTGTGGATAATTTTATGTTTTCTGGGCACTCGGGAGACACTCAGTTGGTACAGTGCTTGTCTGAGATTCATGAGAGTCTTGGTTCAATCCCCAGCAGTGTGCAAAGTGGGGGTGGGGAAAAAAGGTACAAGTTCAATGGCCCTCGGCCACTGGAGTCCTCCTTACGGGTCCTTCATTAGCACCTCACTCTCCTCATGCTCTGTCTCTTATATCTATTATGTATTATATATTGGTGGAAGGTTTTCGGTCTTTGCCCTCATACTAATCTTGATACGTTCCCCCCATCTCCTGCCTTAGCGCTGTGGAGAGGACCCAAGCACATCTCTTGTTGAGTGAGTATTTATTAGCCAGGGGTTATTAGAAGCTTGGCAAAGCTTGCCCTGCCTTCCAAGTTCGGTGCCTTGTCTTAATGCGTACCTGCCCTGTAGCCAACAGGCGGAAGACTGTGCCCGGATGTCGAGGGCTCTTTAACAGAACTGGTTTGCTGGCCTTGTTCCTGGTAGATCACACTGTAACTTCTGGCGGGCAGTCAAGACGGGAAGGGTCTTCAATACCATGAGTAATTTCATGGGCTGCTGATGGGCAATTAGGAGTGATTACAGCTAAGAGGCTTTCCTTTCTTAACAGCTCCAGAAAGGGTGGTGGGAACTTAAAATCTGGATTCTTTTCCCCGGGAATAGGCTTGTCCAATTTTCATCATTGTATTGTCCTTTTTTCCCCCTTTTTTTCCTTTCTTTCTTTTTTTTTTGTAAATCCTTATAATTATTTGTCTCCCCACCCCTGAAGTTCTGGGAAGGATGTGGAGAAAAACGGCCTTTGAAAACTCTGTCTTTCTGTGAGAGCGTGTCATCCATCCATGTCTGCCCCTCTCCCCCTGTATTCTTGCTCCATCCATCTTTCCTGAAATGAGCAACGGGAGGTGCAGGGGTAGGCCATCCTCTTCTCCAGAGGTTCATTACATTCCATCCAAACCTCCCGTCCTGGCCTTTCTGATGCTATTTATACTTTGCTTCCAGACTTCTGGCTTACTTGCCAGTATTTAGAAATTCTGTCTGGTGAGGACACCAGAATAAAGTGGTGTTTGTAGGTGAGGCATTCTCTACCTACTTTTAAGGTGATGACATACGCTAAGTGTCACTTTGTTCTTTTGGCGTAAGCCTCACCGAAGCTACCCGTTAGTCTGTCCCTATGTGCCAGCCGCTGGCCGCACACGCTTCACATGTCTCCCCATTTATTCTGCATGACCACCTGTGGTAGGATTATAGGCATGCTAGCCCTATTTTTTTATGGTGATGGTGTGGAACCCAGAGCTTTGTGCATGCTAGGCAAGTTTTCTACCAGATGACCCACATCTGCAGGCCCCACCCGTGGTATTTCATGCAGGGTTTCTGTTTCTGTGCTGGTAGTTGAACCCAGGGCCCTATCCATGCTGAACTAGAACTCTAGCTCAGAGCTGTATCTTCAGTCCTAGGCAGCGTTTATAAGTAGTTTTTGTTGAGAGATAACTCATAGTTCATCAATAATGTGATGAATTTTAGTCTATTCATAGTGTTGTGTAATCACTGCTATGAATTTTAGTACATTTTTGTCACCCCAGGAACAAATGGTATACTTCTCCATTACCACCTTCCTCCTCTCCTCCCCCAGCTCCTGGCAGCTCCTCATCTACTCCCCATCTCTGTGTGTTTTCCTGTTCTGAATACTACCTGTAAATGGAGCCATATAATGTGTGTTCTTTTGTGTCTGGCTTCTTTCATCTAGAGCGTTCTGCTGATGTCAGTACTCCCCGCTTTAATTGTTAGGCAGTACTTTTACTATATGGTACTATACGGTCGGGAAATCAAAATTCTGACTTGCCAAAATGACTTTCTCGGGTCAGATAGCCAGTCAGAAGCCACTGGATTTTTAGAGCAGTTTGCCTAATGCCAACCCCTCATCACCCGGGTGCCTGAGGGCATTGTACTGAAAGTGATCTACTGAACATCTTCTGTGGGTTGGTGCATTGGTTACTTGTCTTGTTTCTGTGACCAAATATAGAATCAACTTAAGGGAAGAGTAGTCTGTTGTCATGGTTTGAGAGGATATGGTCCATCGTGATAGGGAAGGTATGACCATGAGAGAATAGCATGCTTGGTTGCGTGGTGCTCACGGTCAACCCAGAGAAAGATGAATGCTGATGTCCATTTGGGTTTCTCTGTTTCCTTTTGCATTTAGTCTGGGATTCCTAGCTCCTAGGGGGTGCCGCCCACATTCAGGATGGCTCTTCCTCAGCTAAACCTCTCTGGAAATGCTTCCATAGATACAGGCAGAGGTGTGTCTTGTAGAAGACACCTCAACTCAAGTCCAGAGACCCTCAACTTGCCAATGAAGATTAGCTGTCACAGTCAGGGACTGTTCTGAGTGTCCTGGAAGGCCGTTCCCTCGTGTTCCTTCAGTATCACCTTCCAGCTGGGAAATCCTGGTCACCATGACTGGGAAATGGCATTTTTCTTTTAGTAGCTTCTAGTGTGTGTATGTGTGTGTGTGTGTGTGTGTTTGTTTGTTTGTTTTATTAGTACATTTCATTTATTTGTTTTATTTTTTGTGTGTATTTTATTAGTACATTTTATTTATTTGTTTTAATTTGTGTGCATGTGTGTGTGTGTGTGTGTGTGTGTGTGTGTGTGTGTGTGTGTGTGTGTGGTGTTTGCCGAGGCATACATGGTACTATCAGAAGACAACTTGTGTGAATTAGTTTTCTCCTTCTACCGTGTGGGATCAAGGTCAGATTGGCAGGTTTGGTGGCAAGTGTCTCTACCAGCTGAGCCATCTTGTCAGCCCTTTCACGTTTGTTTAATCCCAGTTTCTTTCTGTGATTGGGCTCTAGAACTTTTCCAGGCAAGTGACGCTAAAAAAATAACCATGTTCATTTCTATAGGAGTTGAACCTGCAGAAAACTGGGGACACCTCCGAGCAACCCTTGCCTTAGCCTGGACCTGCAGCATCATGGTTTTCCATTTCACAAGCTGTCTCAGGTGAGCAGAAAACCTCTTAAACACAGAAGCAGCACTTGGGGTGTGGCTCTGTGCTGTGCCCCTGCCTAGCATTGCCAGGCTCTGGGTTCACTCTATACTGTACTAAATAAGCATACCCCCTTGGCCCAAAATGGAGTTTGGGGTTTCTGTTTTACTCTATGGGTTCTTAAGTAATTGGTCTTCGGGCTGTGCATCTCACTAGTATTTGATACAGTAGTTCAGGTGTGCAGTTGTCTACATTTCCGAAGGTCCTTCCAGGCCAGGAGCTACACGCTGTAGAACAAGGTCCAGGTGGCTTGAACTCTGCTGTCTTCTGGGAAACTCTGGGACTCAAAACAAAATTCATTTTTAGGTAAATAATTGGATATCAGGGAAAATGTATCATATCTTATGTAATAGTATTATCTAAGGAACTGGAAAAGCGTTGTGATCCCCTACGACCACAGGTAACCCTGGCTACAGCCCCACAGAGTTTGACTTAACCTATCTGGTATTATTACTACCCTGGTCTGTTCTGCTCAAAACTTCCATGAATCTCCACTTTAATTTTAAAACCTGCTTCTTATATTAAGTATGCGTATATGGTAAATTGAGTAAGTACTGCCTTTTTATTTTGTAGATCAGAAAATCAGTTCTCAGAGATACTAAGTTATGGACATGGACTTGCATTATCTGCAGACTCAGAATAAGGGCTTCAAATACTGGAAATGTAATCCATGTTATTGGAATTGTTTTCAAACTTGAAACAAAACAAAACACCGATAGGGGACTGGAGCTGTGGCTCAATTGGTGGATGCTTGGATTCTAAGTACCAAATCAACTGGGCTTTGGTTACACATGGCAATAATTCCAGTACTCAGGAAATAGAGGCAGGAGGATCAGAAATTGACTATAGAGATAAGGCCAGCCTGGTCTATGTGAGACTCTATCTTAATAGAATAAAATAAAATAATGGAATTTTTAAAATTATTTAATCAGGGTCAGTGAGATGGCTCAGCAGGTAAAAGCATTTGTCTTGCAAACCTGATGTCCTAAGGTTAGTCGCTGGAATGCAAGGTGGAAACAGAGAACTAACACCTAAAAGTTGTGCTCTGAACTCTACATAACCTCTATGCGCGTGCACACACACACACACATACACACACACACACACACACACACACACACACACACACACACACACACACCAATAAATAAGAATTTAAAAATGATTTCATCAAAATCCTATGTGAGATCTCAATATATAAAATAGACAACAGGTTTTATTGATAAAAATGAACTTCCTAGGTACAAATTTGTAACTTTTACACATTGTCAGATCAGTGACCACCAACATTTGGAGTCAGGGTTTCTGGATGATTCTTTCACATCTTCCTCGCATTGAGTTTATTTAGTGGTTGTTTTAGCTGCTCTGTTTCACGAGCATGCTGAACATCCCAAGTAAGGTCTTGCAGTTAATAACAATTCTTTGATGAGGTCACCCTGAGGTTTTGGGATGCTCTTTACCTAAACCGATTGACAGTCTGGACAGAGGGAAAGAAGAGTGTGCTGTCTCAAAGCTGCACCCTCAGGGTATCTTACAGTCTTTCCTCCTCTCTAACCATGCATTATTCTCAAATGCCAACAACTCATGCTAAAAATGCAAACGATCTGTGACATGTTATGATGTCACCACATGCGATTGCCCAGCTAGGCGACAACATTTGCCAAGCAGATGCTTCAGGGCCCATATACAGCATTGAATTGAGTATAGAGTATGTGTGTGCTTTAATGTGTTGTTGCTTGTAAAATTTTATACCAACAGTCATGTGCATGCTTGAAATCCAAAATCCCACAGGAACTACAAAACTTGGCATTAATGACATGGTCACAGATATGTCAGATGTCAGCAAGAGAGGGCAGAAAAGCTTCATTTCTGACCTGTGTAATATCCAGCCATCAGCAGCCGCCTAAACCAATGCTTGGTTACCTTAAAGCTTAACACTTCAAAATGAAATTTGTTTCCAAACAGAGTCTTACATATCCTAGGTTGGGCTTGAACTCTCTGTGAAAACAAGAATGACCTCTGAACTCTTGGATCTTCTAGATTCCAGCTCCCAAGTGCTGGGATTATATGTGTGTGTCACCCTGTCTTGGTTATGGGGTGCTGGGGGTGGAACCCGTGACCTCATGTGTACTAGATAAGACTCTATCAGCAGAGTGATCACCCTCAAACATTAAATGGTATTTCTAAACATACAATATGTGCCAAACATATGGGAGACCCCACAACACTGCTGCAGAACCACAGGAGAGTGAGAATAAAGGCAAGTCAGTCTGGCCATTGGCCACTTCTGCAGTGTGTCACATGGCACTGATGTACAACAAAGTAGAAGTTACAGTCGGACATTGAACTGGATGGAAAGAGCAAGTGGAGGGTAAGAGGGGGATGCCCTACCTGGCAAGCAGGTGTGAGTATGCTGTCATCAAAAAGGGCTCCCCCAAAGACATGAGCACCCAGGCTACATAAGCAAAGCACTTCATGGGGAAAGTCCCATTTGCTGTGTTTTCCTTATTTGCTCTTTTCCTTTACATCCTGGAATTCGAATGCAGGCTCCTCCCAAAGTGGTCAGATCAAGGTGTGTGGTGGTAGCCATCCCTCTCTGAGGGAGGCCTCACAGCAAGCTCACCTCCCACCTCTGCACTGGCCATCGTTTCTAAGAAATTACCTGGACCTCTGACCTTACTTAGCCTGGCGGGAGCGACTGGAAACTGCATGTGGCCTTGCTACCTGGCCGGCAGGCTGTGGAGTCTTGGCAGGCCCCTGCGCTGGGTCCTGTGGCAAAGACTGTTTGGACAGGTCTCCTTGGTGGGTGTTTCATCAAGGGTTCTGCTGTCAAGACTGGAGGAAGAGAATGTGAATTATGGGGCTGGGCAGGCGACTCTGTAGGAGTATAAACTGGAGACTTCCATCAGAAGCCAGACATGCATTACCTACTGTATGTCTTTAAAAATTTATTTTAGAATGATGTGTGTGTGTGTGTGTGTGTGTGTGTGTGTGTGTGTGTGTGTGTGTGTTGTGGGGGGAGGTCAGAGGACAACTTTTGGGAGTCGGTTCTCTCCTTCCACCATGTGATCCCAGACATCATTCTGCTTAATGTCACATGCCTGGACCTGAGGAACCATCTCACCCGCCCAACTACTATGTGCATGTTTTTCTCCAGAACCATTTCAATATATTTTATGCTTTACAAACAAAACCAAAGCTATAATGCCTTTTGTTGAAATGCTTTTTAAAATGTTCTGGGGGAGGAGAGTTCTGATAAGAGTGAGAAGTCTCTGACACAGTAGAAGAGGAGCAGGCACACGTGCTCATTCAGACAACTTCCATAGTTATCAGACTGACCAGATGCATGAGGATGGATGGAAAGAGTCAGCGGATTTCTCTGTCTAGAGGGAAAGCAGGCTGCAGTTAGACCCGTGCTGGCCAGAAAATCTCCGAGAGGAAAAAACATTCGAGGGGATTCACAATACCGACATGCAGAGATTTAGTTCAAAAACCCCTCCTCAGTCCTTGCCAAGCCACAGGGCAACAGAAAGTCAACTTCCTCTGCATTGAAAGAGACAGTGAAGCCCAGGAATTAACATAGACCCCTGCTCTGCTCAGAACTCTAGCAATGAAAAGAAGCCTAGTCAAAGCCAGTAGCGGAAGATGCATTAAAACTTTAACCCCCGGAAAACAGGACCCCAAGAAAGACACAGGGATCGCCCAATGACAGAGAAATGGAATGAGATCTACATGAACAGCCTGGACATGAGTGGGGGTAATGAAAGGCGAGGGTCGAGGGAAAGAGAGCTTGGGGGAGCGGGAGATCCCAACTGGATCAACAACAGAGAGGGAGAACAAGGAATAGGAGACCATGGTAAATGAAGACCACATGAGAACAGGAAGAAGCAAAGTGCTAGAGAGGCCCACAGAAATCCACAAAGATACCCACACAACAGACTGCCGGCAATGGTCGAGAGACAGCCCGAACTGACCTACTCTGGTGATGGGATGGCCAAACACCCTAATTGTTGTGCTAGAAACCTCATCCAACTACTGAGGGATCTGGATGCAGAGATCCATGACTAGGCCCTGGGTGGATCTCTGGGAGTCCAATTAACGAGAATGAGGAGGGTTTATATGAGCGAGAATTGTTGAGACCAAGGTTGGATAAAGCACAGGGACAAATAGCCAAATGAATGGAAACACATGAACTATGAACCAATGGCTGAGGGGTCCCCACTGGATCAGGCCCTCCGAATGGGTGAGACAGTTGATTGGCTTGATCTGTTTGGGAGGCATCCAGGCAGTGGGACCAGATCTTGTGCTCATTGCATGAGTTGGCTGTTTGAAACCTGGGGCCTATGCAGGATTGTTTGGCTCGGCCTGGGAGGAGGGGACTAGACCTACCTGGACTGAGTCTACCAGGTTGACCTCAGTCTGTGGGGAAGGCTTTGCCCTGGAGGAGATGGGAATGGGGGGGGGGCGTTGGGGGGAAGGTGAGGGGGACGGGAGGGGGGAGAACAAGGGAATCCGTGACCGATATGTAGAACTGAATTGTATTGCAAAATAAATTAAAATAAATTAAAAAAACAAACAAACAAACAAAAAAAACAAAAAAACTTTAACCCTGAATGAGCTGGGTAGACTGTTACTAAAGTCATGGATAAGCTCAGGATGCACACGAAAGCTTCAAGATGCATAACATCCCTTTGGATCAAAAGGTTGGAGGAAGCCACAAATTTAAGTAAACAAATTTAAGTAAAATTTGTCTACATCTATTCCAAGTCAGCAAGAAAATGTGCCAATGTGACACAGAAGTGTTTGTATTTCTTAGACTTCAAATCACATGTCCTGTGTGTGTATGCATTTGCGTGTGTTGTATGCACAACGTTTGTGTGCACCTATGCATTCAGGTGTGCCTGCATGTGTGGTGAATAAGTATGAAGGTCAGAGGTCCGATCCAGGCATCTTC